AGAGCCTATTTTTATAAAATACACTCGATTTACCGTTCCATGAGGAGTTACGACCGCCTTTTTAATTTGAAAACGGCAATTTCTTACATTATGGTGACCTAAATAATGTAGGAAAAACAATATTCTGAGTCGTCAATTGTGAATCACAGAAAATTCTAGCTATGTAACTGTGACGGAGGCTTGAACAAAATACAAAACTATACAGGCTTGCAGGTTTTAACATAAAGATATGTAGAAATAGAATATTTCAAGTTTATACAATACAGTGTATCTTATGAATATCAATGGAGAAATAAATCACGTGGTATACAAACCTATATGCTCTCCCAGTAATTTACTAATTCCCTTTCAAACAAATCTAAAAAAATCTGCGTCTTTAGTACTCTTTTTCCATGGCGGGACACACGTATTTTAAGGTTAAAGAATGTTGTGAAAGCAATCCATCACTTTCCAAAAACTTTTTCATAAGTGGAAAGGCTGACCAGAGAATAGGCGATGTGCTTTACCCATATCTGTCCCAGTCCAATGTATCTATTACGGAAATTCGGACTTCCAATTCGGAAGAAGGAAAACCATCGACAGTAACAGAGCCTAATGCTCCCATTTCTGTTCTTGAGTCATTTGGCGTGCGATTCATTTTTGTTGACATAAAACAGAATGGTAAGAACTTTGATATGTCTGTCTTTGAGTGAACATTTAAATCAAATCATATAAAAATAAAAAAATATCTTGCTTAATAAGAACTTGGTCGGTTGGTGTCTCAAGTATGTAAATAATCATGTCATATTGTTAATGTTATGTTGAAGGATACAATAATTCTTTGAAATCTAGTTGCTATTAAACTTCCATGAAAACGAGAGTTGTTGTTTTTTTTTTTTTTGTTTTTTGTTTTTTGTTTTTTTTTTTGTTGATTAATTTCATTTTTTAGACAAGGCAGATGCACCCCAAGAAAAGGAAAACGGATCAATAAATGTTTTTGAAATTTTGATGAAAGTCCAAAAATCATACGATAAACTACCCTCCTCAAGGTATGTATTAAATGTACATTTTTTTTTTTGGAATAGACATATTTTTATTTCAACATGTGAATTGATTTAAGAGATTTTTATGTGTAATAAGATTGTCAAATATTTATTTTAGGGTTGGTAATAAACACTTTGAGATGGTAAAATTTTAATAAAAATTCATTCAGAATTGGTGTTTTTATCATTTTTGATGTTGAAATGTAAGTGTTTATTGCATTTTTAGCCGGGCTTTGCTGAAAGCAAAGTCTGACTATAGGCATCATGATCAACTGTCTTACTATAAAAAGCATGTAACAAAAAACCAAACAGCGTCAAAGGAGACGCTTCCGATAAACAAAATAGTCAAAGGCCTGACGATATTCAAACAGATATTTTTAACATCCCAATCCTTGGAAAAGTTATTGATCAATATTTTGGCTTGAGAATTAAACTGAAAGAGCAATTAGATATTTGCTTTATTTGGATAATCCTGATATTCCACAGAAAAATAATTCAAACGTTTGCAAATTTTTCTCTTGAAATGTATTCCAATAAATAGCTAAAAAAATAACTTTTCATGACTTTCAGTTCACTTTACAATTTAAAAAACGGGGTCTCTGTAGGGAAAAGAGTACCAAATAATTTCCCATAGAACTCTATACAAACCTATATGCTCTCCCAGTAATTCACTAATTCCCTTTCAAACAAATCTCTAAAAATCTGCGTCTTTAGTACTCTTTTTCCATGGCGGGACACACGTATTTTAAGGTTAAAGAATGTTGTGAAAGCAGTCCATCACTTTCCAAAAACTTTTTCATAAGTGGAAAGGCTGACCAGAGAATAGGCCATGTGCTTTACCCATATCTGTCCCAGTCCAATGTATCTATTGCGTAAATTCGGACTTCCAATTCGGAAGAAGGAAAACCATCGACAGTAACAGAGCCTAATACTCCCATTTCTGTTCTTGAGTCATTTGGCGTGCGATTCATTTTTGTTGACATAAAACAGAATGGTAAGAACTTTGATATGTCTGTCTTTGAGTGAACATTTAAATCAAATCATATAAAAATAAAAAAAATATCTTGCTTAATAAGAACTTGGTCGGTTGGTGTCTCAAGTATGTAAATAATCATGTCATATTGTTAATGTTATGTTGAAGGATACAATAATTCTTTGAAATCTAGTTGCTATTAAACTTCCATGAAAACGAGAGTTGTTTTTTTTTTTTTTTGTTGTTGATTAATTTCATTTTTTAGACAAGGCAGATGCACCCCAAGAAAAGGAAAAGGGATCAATAAATGTTTTTGAAATTTTGATGAAAGTCCAAAAATCATACGATAAACTTCCCTCCTCAAGGTATGTATTAAATGTACATTTTTTTTTTTTTTTTTTGGAATAGACATATTTTTATTTCAACATGTGAATTGATTTAAGAGAATTTTATGTGTAATAAGATTGTCAAATATTTATTTTAGGGTTGGTAATAAACACTTTGAGATGGTAAAATTTTAATAAAAATTCATACAGAATTGGTGTTTTTATCATTTTTGATGTTGAAATGAAAGTGTTTATTGCAAGTTGACAGAGTTCGTCTGCCGATTTAAAGATACAGAAGAGAGCCTTTTTTTATAAAATACACACGATTTACCGTTCCATGAGGAGTTACGACCGCCTTTTTAATTTGAAAACGGCAATTTCTTACATTATGGTGACCTAAATAATGTAGGAAAAACAATATTCTGAGTCGTCAATTGTGAATCACAGAAAATTCTAGCTATGTAACTGTGACGGAGGCTTGAACAAAATACAAAACTATACAGGCTTGCAGGTTTTAACATAAAGATATGTAGAAATAGAATATTTCAAGTTTATACAATACAGTGTATCTTATGAATATCAATGGAGAAATAAATTACGTGGTAGCAATCTCATGAATAAATTGCACACCATTTCTCCAAATGTTCCTGTTATAAAAGATAAAACTACAAAATTTGAGCATACTTTGACGCTGTTTGGTTTTTTGTTACATGAAAGAGAAATTAGATATTTGCTTTATTTGCTTTATTTGTATAATCGTAATATAACAATTTGTGCACGTAGGCGGCTGAATGTATATTGTAAGCGAACTATTATCAATAGCGCGGGCTTTTCGAATTGTTAAAATTCTTGAAGAGTGTCATGTTTCATATCGTTTTCGTCGTTGTTATGTTAGTGGTTATATTCTGTTTTGATTTTTATCAAATTAATAATATAGTGAATTGGAATTTTAAGAATTAACATGCGTGAAGTCGCTTGACAATGTACATATATCAGGTTTCTACATGTAGTTGGCGATAAAGCTACTGTTTTAAGAATGTCTTTAAAATACACCTGTGCATTATTTTAACTATTCCAAGATTGAAATTTTAAATTATGAGAAAAAATGCTTACTGAATAGAAAATATGCGTGAACTTCTTGGAAATATTATTAAATTGAGAAAAAAATGCTTACTAAATAGGAAATATGCGTAAACTTCTTGAAAATATTATTTATTACTTCAAATTTTACAATCATAACATACCGTATCTTGAAGTCTGGACTGTTAATTTTAATTACTGATATATGGGATATTGTTTGAAATCATAATCATACAAACTCTACCCGTTAAAAATCAATGACCAAAAGGAAAAAATAAATGTGTACTAATTTCGGATCAGAAAATATACTCGAGCAATTAAAGCCTGGCTTTCAGTTCTTTCAATACTTTGATTAGATATGTTATTCAAACTACAAAGGCCTAGAGTAACGTCAAATAGTTTTGATATTTACTTCCGGTCGCGTGTTTTCCCGTCCTCAAAATGCTAAGTTATATATTTTTGAGGAAATATAGGCATCACATTCGGTAAAGAAAGAAGGATTTTTCCCGGCATTTTAGTACAGTACTTATGATTAACAGCTTCAAAACCTTGAAAACCTAAAATATTGTTAAAATTTTATTAAAAATGCAAAATTTTGAATTCTGTTAAGAGGTTTAAAAAGCTACTTCCGGTAATGGAAAGAAATTCATTCAACCGTTAATAACTGATTTGGCAAAGTAAAAGATGTCCTAACATTTTTGGTACATAGTTATAACTTGTATATAATTTAACCCTAAAATTAGGATGTTGCGTTTCTATCGACGGTGAGTATATATTATCTATGTAATGACGTACTTTTATTGTATAAGATAATATGTGCCTGTTTCGGATTAAGCAGCTTTAAAGAAGAAGGTTCCAATTTGTATCAAATAAATAGATTTTTTGCCAGGTTTATAACTCATTATTTGTCAGGCACCTAATTATTATCAGATGTGCGTACAACTATGCAAAATTCAAATGACGTGTTACAAAGGCTTGCTTAATTACAGGTTATTGTCTGCACATCTTGCAATGGATTGTTTTGATTGAGAACTTATCCAGCATGAAGACCAGGACATAATTAAAGGTAAGTGGCCCTATCAGCAAAGAATCAAACAAAGCAAAGCCTTCATCTTCAAAAGATTTACATTTAATACTTATTTAATTTGTGATTTATTTGAATTTCTTCAGAATGTTATGTTACATGTACATACTATGAAAAAAAAATTATATTTAAATCAAAATCGCTTTAAAATTTATTTCAGTACTTTGTGACAGTGGGAAGATGAAATTAAACATGACATGGCTCTATATTACTGCATCATATATCAATCCAGGTTTACTTATAAACCGAATGAAAACAGTCAAGCATCATTTGGAATTGGAGCTACATATGTCACCGCCTTAACAATATGCCTGCTTACATAACCAAGAAAGCACAGTGACCAGTTGTACCTATGATGTCGGACGAGATCCTGAGAAAACTTCCAGTACTCATCACTACCTGCACAGAAATGAAAATTTTAAATGACTTGTATTAACCCTTTTGTATTTCACCTTTCTTGTATTTTAGTACTCATGGCCTTTAGCTTCCTTCAAACAAAATTTCATCAGTACCAACTTGTAGGTGAAAAATGTTGAAACAGTTTGTTTGTCCCAAAGAAATTCTCTTCCAATTAATGAATTATCAGTGTCGTGAGCATTTGATTGATGTCAGTTCCATCGGCAAAGTATTTGTAGCGGAATGGTGCCAGTTGAAACACTTTTCACAAGAACCTGGAAAAACATCAGGTGGAAGTGATCATCTACAAGAAAAAAAGTGAATACTTTCTTAAATACTAGTATTAACAATAATACAGTAAAACTCGGTTATAGCGAAGTCACTGGGACCTATGAAATTACTTTGCTGTATCCATAATTCTTTTAAATTTATATAGCAGGGGATACGAGATAACTTTGCTATATCCGTGAATTTGCAATACATGTATCTGTGTACTAAACGAGTTTTACTCATACTGTATAACATGCCTCTGTACCTCTGTTATATAAAAAAACTAAATACACATGTACCGGTAAGTTGTAACTACCAAATATAGAAAATTAAACTAAGACGTCCTTAAATTTATTCTAAAGTGTATTTATAGCATATTAAAATTAGCATGCAATATTTCAATGTCTAGATATAGACATAAGAATTTTTAAGAAAAGATTATTCGTTGAAACAAATGTGCAAACATTCTGTACAGTTAGCAATTTTTATGCAGAACTTACTTATAAATGTTGAATGTGCATTTCAATCGTTAGAATGAATGTAAGGCACACAGTAGGAGAATAGTTCTTGTTAATAAGTTAAATAACTTGTTATTTACTGATTTTTTTTTTAAAGAAAATATGATAAAAAATTAAACTAGCATATATATGGCCCCTTGATTTACCATGATATGTGAGCTTTTGTGAATTTGATACTGAACTAGTAAGTTTTAAATATTGAAGTAAAGAAAAGTGCAGCCCAAAAAAATACATTGTGCCTGATTTAAAATGAATTCCATCAGTAACTACTTGGAAGTTGTCATATGAGAGAACTATGAGATAAACCCCATTAACAGATACCAGTACAAAGATAACACATTCAGTCGAATCATTGTCCTTTTTTCAGTACCTTCTGGAGCCCTTTAACATAAATTGAAAAAAATATCGAATAGATAAAATTTTCTATTGTTGAATGATGAATATCCTATGGTCCCAGTGAGGGCTGCATGTTAGGAGACACAGTTAGATTGTTGTACTACATGCACAACAAATAAGAAAAATTCCAGTTTCTAATCAAAGGCGGATCCAGGGCAAGCGCGATGGGCATGTGCCCCCTTCCTCTTAAAGTCTTTAAATTTGTTTATGAAATTTTGCTTATGCTATTCTAAAATCAAAGGGAAAAAACTTTAGGTTTTTCCTCAGTTTTATGGGGGCTTTGCCCCTGCACTCCCGCCAGGTCTTTTCCCTTCAATGCAGCCACAAGAACCCTTTACCTACTACTGCATCCCCCATCCCCTGTTATGCAATTCAGCCACTGCTCATTAATTCCTATTTTAGGAAAAAAAAATGCCTGTCTCATAATTTTAAGTGTATTTGGGAAGGGGGTCATAAAGCTTTACAGTTAATATAGAAATTGAAATTGAATGTATACATGCCTGTGTACATGCAAGAAGTAATGATTGACATTTTTATTTCTGGATCAACAGGATAGGGTACATAATTAGCTCATCTACTTTATATCTACTGTAATGATTTATGCATAGTATTATTATTAAATTAAATAATAAATATTATTTCTATCAGGATCATGTTTTAATGTAGTTATCAACCTAGCTGCAGAAATGTAGCTCTCTGAAAAAAATATATATTTGATAGACCGGAGAGCTACAGTGCCACCCATTGAAAAAACTGTATATTTATTGCGCACAAAAAAGTGCGCTGTTTCTCGATTTATTTCTCCATGTTTTTAAAACTGTCATCTCAAAATATTACTAACCGTGTATGGCATGTCAAACGTTGCTATATTCGATAATCTTGTGATTTATATTCAAAATCTTGTGATGTATGTTCGAAATCTTGTGATGTATGTTCGAAATCTTGTGATGTATATTCAAAATCTTGTGATGTATGTTCAATATCTTGTGATGTATATTCAAAATCTTGTGATGTATGTTCAATATCTTGTGATGTATATTCAAAAACTTGTGATGTATATTCTATAATCTTGTGATGTATGTTCAAAATCTTGTGATGTATATTCCATAATCTTGTGATGTATGTTCGAAATCTTGTGATGTATATTCGAAATCTTGTGATGTATATTCTATAATCTTGTGATGTATGTTCGAAATCTTGTGATGTATATTCGAAATCTTGTGATGTGTGTTCTACAATTTAGTGATGCGTGCAATAATACTGCATTATGGGTAATATGACGCAAAAGTATTCCAAAAAAGTAAGGACAATTTTCATTGGTTAGAAATAACGAAAGCAGCCGGAGCGGTGATCGACATTGTGATGCACAAATGACTGACTACCACACAACTTTGCAAGTGTGAAATTGGCGAATTCAACCTAAAGTCAAAACAACAATTATAGGTAATACTATAGTAAGACAGTATTGTGAAAATGTATTGTTTTGGTATCACGAAGCACTAAGTCAGTCATAACGTGAAAAGTGGGAATCAAGAACATTAATTTGATTTGTTTGAAGGTATTTTAACACACATTAAAAACAATTTAATGGCTAATTGCTGGAGAATGACATGTTTTATTCTTTTTTTAAGGTCCTCATATTGTAGTGATGTTGATTAATAGGTATGATTTATCTTATATAGGTGCTAGTTAGTATCTAACTGTGTCTCGGGACAAACTCTCACCACGCAGAGACGACTTTGCAATAAATAAAGAAATAAATAACACGACAAATTTTTAGGTGAAGGTGGCTGTCAGGAAAAGATTAATTGCCATGCATCATTGATTATTGTCATTCACAAATTTGTCCAATTATTTTTATAGTAAAAGTATTGAAAATTTCCTAATATTTTTAAGCTGTTTTTACAGCCTGAAATAATAAATTTAAAAAATCGTAATATATGTAATGATATATCATATTCTTGACAAGCAATATACAATGATAAAAATCATTGTCGCATATCTGCAGTGATTTTCTTTGATCTCTCTGTGGTGATATATCCCATATCACTTGTGTGATAATACTTTCCAAACATGTTTCAAAGTTTTTACACTCTATATCATACAGTTTTAAAGATTAAATGGTTAATTTATCAAAACCTGCCACTGAAAATTCAAAAGTCTTAAGTTAAACCAATTTGTCCAGGGTATTCTTAGTAAAGTATGTCAAAGGTCAAGGTCAATTGAATTGTAAGGCTGGTATTTTTTTCTTATGTTTTATGGCAATCAGTGCACATGGTAAATAGCATAAAATTACCCCTTAAAGGTCTTATGCAAGGAGATAGCCAATCAAAATGAACTCAGTCAAATGTAGTTCTATATATATAGAGACAATGATATTTCTTTTCTTTTTTCATTTTCAGCAACTTTATGTAGGTCTACAGTTTTGATTTTGGCTCATGCACTAGAAATATCATATCAGTAGAATTGTGCCACTGAATCAAAAGGATTTTTTTAGGTACGCATGATCGATGTAATTTCCTCGATGGTGCGTTGGCTGTTTGCCCATGTGTATTTCGGGGTAGGTATGTTTACTCTCAATTTTCTTTCTTAAAAGCCGCATAAGGGGTATATTTTTTCTGATCTAAAATTTTTGTCTAAGCATTAATCTTTATTTTCTATTTCATGAATTATCTGCTGACAGTCTAGTTAATTAGTTTATTTAATTAAAGCTATATAGTAACATATAGTGAAATTATTTCCTTGTGTGAGACCTAAAGAAAAATCAGGTTACTCATTTTTACGACAATTTCTTTGATTTCAGGAATAGCCTCCCCTTTTAAAGATCCAAAATGGTGGTTATACAGTCAGGCATGCAGTCTGGTCATCAACGGAGATTTTTGACACCCGTATTACCCATATTTATACCATTCGCCTCTGTAACCTTTGTTGAGTTCATCAGACAGGTAAGAAAAACAATATTATTAATTAAAATAATTTTATCAAGATAAATAAAATAATTAATGAAAAAAAATTACATGAACAGACTCCCTCGTATAAGAAAATGTCACATTTTACACATTGCAATTATGCATCATTTACATATCCACATTTTCCCCATTTACACATGCAGTTGAATAGATTTAGTGCTTAATAATACATATATAGCAACAATTATTACATGTAAGACAATTCACAAAATACATGAATGCATTTAACTGTGAAATACAGATTTCGTACATTTATAATTAAAATACACAGCATCAATACCCCCCCCCCCCCTTCACAATCTTGCAACATTCTTTTTAATTCAAAGTCACTAGCCAACACTAAAGACTTCCACTTATTGCTTTTCAGTCCATGACAGGAAGTTGAGGAATAAAGTTGACAGGACATCCCGAACTGTCCTCGGTACCAGCTTATGAGGGAACCAGCTGCAGTGGACAAAGCACGTTACATCATAGGATAATAGGTAAGTCTCCGGAGTAGTCTGTTTGTAGCAATTCTCGTACTTGGTCCTGCATCGAAGCTTCAGGACTATTGATATTTATCTCTGCATGGATTCTCTTATGGCTTTGGTTCTTCCCAGAAACATGTGACTGGTGGTGGTCTCTATATTCTTCTGGCTTTTGTGGTGAGGAATGCTTCATTTTTAGCTCACCTGAGCCGAAGGCTCAAGTAAGCTTTTCTGATCACATTTTGTCCGGCGTCCTTCTATCTAGCTGTCTGTCCGTCTGTCTGTCCATCTGTAAACTTTTCACATTATCGACTTCTTCTCAAGAACCCCTGGACCAATTTCAACCAAACTTGCCACAAAGCATCCTTGGGTGAAGGGAATTCAAGTTTGTTCAAATGAAGGGCCACACCCTTATTCAAGGGAAGATAATTGGGAATTAATGAAAATTTGGTGGTATTTTTTAAAAATCTTCTTCTCATTTAGAACCACCATGCCAGGAAAGTTGAAACTTGCTGGAAAACATCCTCAGGTATTGGTAGATTCAAGTTTGTTCAAATCCTGTTTATTAACCTTCAGTTTGCCCTGGGGCTGCTCCTGTGATGTGTTGTCAGCATTTGTTGTCAGCATTGATTGTTAGAGCATTGAAAGAGTCACAAGGTTTCCATAAGATTTGAATGAAATATTTTGATGATGTCAGTTTTATAGTTTCATTTGAAAAGAATGTGACAAGATGTCTGAAGATGTTCTGTTTAGGCTTTAACCAGTCAAATTTTACCTGTTATTTAGAGCAGACTATTCAGAGAAATGAAAGGACAGTAGGCATTTTAGAATGTGTTGTTCTGAATTTTCAGGTGTATATATACAAATTAATGACTTCATAAAAAATTTTGCTTTATAAATACTGTATACAGGGTTATTTTTGCCTGTGTTATTTTCGTACTTTCACACTTCCCAACAATTTTGCCGTGTTTTAAATTCGCCCAGTCACAGTTCTGTTTACAAAATTATGCTGCATTTTTTGAATTCACCCCATTTTAAATTTGTCCACCAATGAGTAGGGCGAAAGGGGCGAAAATACTGTAGATCACTTAATTTTCGCGAAACCTTATTTTTGCGAGATTGTCATTTACTCTTTATTAGCGAGACATAATTTTCACAAATTGTTGTTTCTTCTTTATAAAATCTTAAGGTATACTATTATACGCGAGAATGTAATTTTCGCGAACTCATTGTCTCGCTTAATTATGTGAAAATAAAATTCTTGCAAATAAAAAGTGATTTACAGTAGAATGGGGACAAAAATTTTCCTGCATACAGTAGATATGTTGGACATTCTTTGTAAATCATAAAATTATTGCTTTCTGTAATGGTTGTGTGACAAGTATAAAGTGTAGTTACCTCTATTTTAGGTACTACATGTATATGATGTTTTCTTTTTATAATTTACTCTAGTACAAAACCTTATTGGGGTAGCTGTTTACATGTGTGTGTTTTCAAAATTTGCTTTTTTAGACACCCGCGGCAAATATTCAAATGAGCCTAAAGTGAT